CTCTGGACACCTGCTCCTTTAGATGATCATTGCCATCAACATGCACACTACTCTGACGAGTGAGCAAATAGTAACAGTGCCTTGGAGCAGCCACCAGTTGCTAGCCTAAAGCAGCTGTCACAACTTACTCACAGACAAGGAAGGGGTCCCACACACCCCTACTGGTTTGGTAGGGGAAGCAGAGAAGAAAGAAGCAAGCATCCTCACAGCTGGAGTAGCAAGTATGCCAAACCCCAGCAACTCAAAACACAGCAGTTGACTACTATGGGTGGGTCAAGGATTGGCAACGAGTCCTTACAGAGGGCCTAGGTTCATCCAACCTTGCTAACCCCTGATCAGCCTCTCTTAGATATCCAGCAAAATAGACCAGCTGTTCTCAGTTACAAGCATCCGATAGGCCCAGAGATGAACAACAGTTCTAAGCTGGTTCTAAATTAAACAAATGGATTCCCATCTAAGTCTTTTATGCAATAATTTACCCAAGCAGTAAGCAGACTCAAGGCTAGGTTGTCATACAAACCATATATTAACACTGTCAGCAATAAATCTCCTCTCCCCACCTCAACCTCCACGCTCTGTGCTATTTTCTTAAATAGCTCAGTATAAAGCCCCAACCTAATTAAAAACAGCTTCCTCTGCAACAGCAGCCTTGATTTCACTTATTTACACATTAACTGCAGCCTCCGCTTGGCCAATCCAGCCTATTCCCTGTACTATGCGGGGCCTTTTATCTGCCCTGGACAGCATTTTCTCCAGCAGATGAAGTAGATGCCGATTGATTTGCTGTCGAGCATGGTAAATTAATAGCAACAAATTGCTGAGGGCCCCATCTCACTGCACCACCATGCTTCGGCAGTTTTGCTTTATTTGCTCCATGATGGGCAGCAGTCAGGCCTCTTCAAGTCTATTTCGTCTTAACAACCTGCAATACTTTTCAATGGTGAAAATAGAGCTGTTCCTTGTAAGTCAGAAATCAATATCCTATTGCCCTTAGAAAATGCTAAACAAGCAGTATTGGCAATCCACTTGGTACCAGAGGGTATCAGATATAATGCAAATCCATACCACTTCCCTCTTTGTAGTTATTACAGTTTGCTAAAAGGTTCCTAATGCCATTTATCATCATTTACCATCAACTACTGCAGCTACGATTATGATATCCTATCAGCTGGCCAGAGCCCTTTCATTTCAACCTAATTAATATTTTAGTAGCACTCAAAAGGTTGTTGCCTAAGACGTGGAATAAAATTTACATGGATTGGAGCAAAATGGAGAAAGGAGCAAAGAATGGACTGAAATTATTTTAAAAAATGACTTTTCAAATTATCTCCAGTTTCAAATTCTGATTTCTTAAAAAAAAGAGAGAGAGAGAGAGAGAGAGAGAGATCTGTTTAAGAATTCCTTCAACTATAATGAATTTGACTGACTTCCCACTAGTCCTATTTGCAAGTATATTATCTTTAGCTAAGTGCTGATTCTTATTATAGGGCATAAACCAACAAACTCTGATTTAGAATATTTTATGCAGTATGACAATCTACTTAGCATAACAAAAATAACATTCAAATTTATGCACAAAATCCTGTGTTTTTTTTTAAAGGTATAATATATGACACACACATATATACATGCCCATCACACTATTTCCTTTTGGGGAAAGCACCATTATGCAAAGCTCAGAAAATGAGAAAGAAATAATAAGCCAAAGGAATTCAAACATGTGATAAGAAAAAGAGAAGGAAATATAGCAAAATCTAGCATATCCCACACCATTTATTTCTCTATACCTTTCTATCCTGGCAAACCATCTTGGCCTTCACCACATTCACATTATTTCTTACATTCATAAGCCATAAAATATGGATGGGAAAAGATCCAGAGAATCTTCAGGATAGTCTGATACATGGATTTAACAGAAGTAAATATATTCACAACTTAACAGTATCCAGTCAGAAGGAGGAACAGTGGCAATCTCTCTGCCCAATTCCTGGGCAAAAACATGCTATTTCTCCCCCCACCCCAAATCTGCCTCTATGCAGCTTACATTGCCAAAAACACAGATTAAACACTTAGGCTTTTATACCACACACCAGGATTGTTAGTTTCTGTTATTTAAAAAAAAAAATAGACCAAAATAATTCAGAGAACTAATTTTATCAGTCTAATGCTATTTACCCAGTTACCAAAATCTAAATTAATTATGTTCTCAAACATAATTGTTAAAAATTGGCAACATTATGCAGGCTTAATTAAGATTAAATCCAATTTACTAAATGTACTTTAATTGGTACTAATTACATTAGCTTTCCTTTCAGAATGACAAATTCCCCATAGGTTTCACTTTAATAGTCTTCTATCAAAACCAACACGGGATGACTGATGATCAGCCTAGCACAAGAGGTGGGGAAAGAAAGCAGCCACACCACATCCTTTTCACCCCACCCTGAAGTCCATGTGTATACAGCCAGAGAGAGAGAGCATGCGAGAAAAAGAGTGTTCTATGCATTTATCCTTTGATCAATCTGCTAAATCACAGAGGTTTGACACCACCACAGCAATCATTTTCGGTTCCAATGAAAAATTTCTCTAAAAATAAATACTCTGTGGCCGGGAGCAGCCAAGAAGAACAGATGCTTCAACAGAAAAATACACAAAGGTTTCAAATATCAGGGCCACCAATTACTAGGGTACTTCCAGGGACTCCAGGGAGCCCCACTTTTGAACCCTCTGAGACGCAAATCTAATAAGCGAATAAGCCTAACCTTATCTTGAGAACTAGGCCCAATTATGCCGCAGGGCAACTCAGCCGCATTATTGCCTGCTTTCCATTACAAGGGCACCCAGCGACTACATCTGGAAAAGAAGCTAAAAGAAACCAAGGCTATCTGCCTAGGAAAACAAATAAAGATGGATAGGTCTCTACGCTTTGGTGTGGAGTGGGGAGATGGAGGAGGGGCATGGAGAAAGAAAATATAATAAGTTGGTGGTTTGCCGAGCTGCAAGTATTCCATAATGTGATAAACTGCCCTCAGGATTTTTTATGTGATTGAATCGAAAAACAAAACCCACAAATAATCCCCAAAGCAGATCACTCAGTCTGAACCGGGTTGCGTGAGGTGGAGGAGGGGGATCAGGAGAGGAAGAACAAGATGGAAGGATTTAAGGTGGAGGTTTGAAGGCTTTGTCCACTTAAACGCAGGTTCATACATCTATGAAAGGGCGGCCTTCGATATTTCTGTAATGTCAGATGGGAAAGGGTCGAAAAAGAATATTACAGTCTGAACTAGGAGGGGAGAATATACTTGAATCCTCATTACCAATCTTACTTGTTCTACAGCAGAGAGAGATGCAAAAATTTTTTAAAAAATTATCATTCCATGAAGGATTTCATTCATCAGCAGTGGGTGATGGAAAAGTATTAAGATGTGTTTTGTGAATATGTAGCATTTATATTACTAATCTTACAGAAAGGAGAGTAATGGGGGGAAATGATACCCTCATTTAACCCAATCCTTCAAAACCACCATATTTATAAAATAGAGAAGTTCCTCAGAACACCGTACTACATGTTGTTTGCTAGGTGAAATTTTGGAAATAAAAGTCAAAGCACACTTTCTCCCCCCCACCCCAAGTATTCTCAGTGATTTCACATCTAAGCTTTTTCCTATTTCTAACAGATATTTTAAAGAGAGGGAAAGTCTCAGTACATATATTTAACTATTGTAAATATGACGTGGAACAACTGGCTAATGGCTGATTTGGAACACCTATGGGAAACTATGTATCAAGATGATGCATATGGATTTTGCTAATCATCTTATTTATACAGGTTATAGTAATATCTTCTACTGCATTCAAAAAGATAAAAAGCTGAGCTTTGAATTAATTTCAGCAAAAAGTTTTCCTTTGTTAAAGACAGTTTTCATAAAATGTCTCATACCACCTGATTGTCACTTACAGCACTCATTTGTTGACTTAAGTATTAATTTCCAAAGCTGTGAATATTTCCAACACTGAACTAGGGACAATTTAATATTTATAATACACAGTTGATTATATCACAAGACAGTGATTTAAACTGAAACACATTATGAAATACACTGGTGTTTTGCCCAGTGTAACAAGTTTCTAATTACAATGAGCTCCTAAACAGTGCAATTGTAGGAACAAACTATGAACCCACAAGTAGAATTTCAAGTTAAATGTTCTCAAGTATAGAATTCAGTACTGATCAAATAAATATGCAAGTTATCAGATGCTTCCCTTGCCACACTTCTGTGTTTTGCAAGGATTTTAAAAAGTAACTTTATTTAGGGATACTTTCAAAATAAAATCATGGTAATAAAGAAACTGAATAATTTCTCAGTGCAAAACTAATCAAAATATTTGGTTCTCTCTCAGGAAATCTATCAGTTTGTTATCACTGAGGTTATGCTCATTAATACGTTAACTTATTAAGCTTAGCCAAACTGCTAGACTACAACACAGGGCTAAACTTCAGCATGGGCTCATTTGCTGTGAAAAATATCTGATTCTAAAAGAGATGAATGCATGCATGAATGAATGAGTAAATGAATTAATGAATGGAAGAAATAAGCAACCATTCATTTTTGCAACATTTTTTTAACCTGTGTCTCCTAATAAGCGTATCTATTTACATATTATTTCACTTAAATAAAGACAGCCACTCATTCCTGATAGATTTACTTTAGGGTGGGGGTTGGTATATGCGTCAAAAGGCAGCAATTTACAGTGACCAACTTTAACCTAATCCTGATTTTGCAAACAACAAATACTTGAAAGAAGACATTATTTAGACAGCTGTTAGCATAACACAACAGTTTCTCTTAGGCATGGCTAGAAGGGTTTGTCTCATAAAATAATTAAGACTGGCTCCCTCAGTCTGCTGAAACAATCACATTTTGCCGAAGTGAATAAAAAACAACAACAAACAAACAGTATTTAACTACAAGGCAAGAGATAAAATATAGTTTGCCTACCTGTTTATGCATCTCTATATTCAACCCATACGACATTTCATAATACTAAGGAAAAAAAGAAAATTGATTTATTTTAGAATTGGCAAGAACACAAATATAACCAATGTGTACACTTTTGAAGATATGTGCTGTGTAACAGTTAAACGTTCAGCCTTTCCAATTATAACACATATCTAATTGTTGTCTGTTTTAATTCTACACTGATTAAATCAAGTTCAAAAGGGGGAAAGGGATCCATTCACATAAATATTGGCAAGGGGGCAAATCCAATTATTAAATATTAGACAAGCACATATATGCACTTCGATATATAACAGATACTAAAATGCTGGAAATGCTAAAAAGCAGACATTAGCAATACAGAAATTGATCCTATATTTTATATTTAAAAAGCAGAACGACTGCAACTATATATAGGTTCTAAAACCAACAAACAGGCAAAGCTACTTAGATACATAATTGTATTTTCCTGCACCAAATGGTTGCTCAATTTTGCCAGATAGAACCATGTGCACCAACCCCATTAGATATGTGAAGGCCAGAATATAAGCTTTGATGGATAGCTTTGCTTTGGCTAGAAGGCAGCATATCTCTCAAGGTTACTGTCCTCCTTAAAACTGAGTCACTCCATCACATAAAGAAAGCAATTATTTTCCCATCTAACTACAGAGGAACAGGTAGAAAACAGCTCTTTGGGTGTTATCACAATCCATCAGCAAAATCAGGTATGTAGAGACCATCATATGCCAATTACTGATAAAGGGAATTTGGACAAGCACACAAATAAATATCTAAATATTTTCCAACCCTCTGGTTGCTGACATCCCAGTTAAACATGAAACCTGCTCATTAGCAACAGGTTTAAGAAGGAAAACTTGATTAAAATGCGAGCAACCAGTTCTCTCACATCTATTACTGTAATGTACATTTCTTTCTTTGGCACACATATACATGAAACACAGATCTATTCCACAACTCAAGGGAAGGGAATAGCATAAACCTGTCAGCTTTCCTCTTGAAGCTGTATGAAAATGCAGGCATTACTAGGATCAGCAACATAGTCAACACATAAGTGGGTGCAACGATTCTATATACTTTAAATACTGACTACAATCTTCAAGGACTCTCAGCCGTGCAGGACACATTGAGGACATCTATCTCTTTCAAGAGAAACTATCATAAAAGGAAAACCTCACACCTGAGCTATCAGCATTAAGCAGGCAAAAAAGTCTTCAAACCCAGCCTTTTATCCTGGCACCTTCATCTGAACAGCATCACTATCGCACACCAGCTAGCTGCCTGCAGCAACCTGAACATTTCAATCCATTCAAAGACCAAACTAATAAAACAGACAGCCTGAACTGGTTACGCTGCCGCTTGCTTACCATGACATAATGTCGCTGCATCTCCGTCTTTTCACTGGCCAGTTTTTCACATTCTAGCTTTAAACTGTTGGGGGGTGGAGGGGGAGAAAGGGAGACAAAAGACAACCATCTCTGAATATGTAACAGCATCACTTTTTAAAACATCTTGATATATATAAGCATTCCCTGCAAGTCACCTGGGTAATATTGTTAGATTTTAAAGAAAAAAACTTTGAACAACCCTCTAATGTCCTTTGTTGACAACTACACTTGTCTTTTCTCAGACGAGATGTAAGAAAACTTTTTGAAGCATATGGACAAGGTATTTGGGGAGGGAGTGGAGAGAGAGCAAAACAATCTTCCTGGAAAAAAAGAGAGAGAGGAAAAAAAAACTGAACACCAAAACTGAGAAGGCTGATTACGTCCAAAGTGTAACATTGTCTGCTACTGTAAAAAATCTCTTTCAAAAAGACCTCTAAACTGGTTTTGCATGTGATCTTGCTTGCCCTCAAACAGACAATGTAATTCAGAGTAACCACTCAGAGACAAAAAGAGTTGAAAGGTTTTCAGTTTTCAAAGAAAGCAGCCCAACAGCATCCACAAGCGACATCTTGCGAGCAATAAACCCTTTCTTGCACTCTCCCCACTTTAAAAAAAAAATAATAAACCAAGCAACAATCTGGGGGGACCTTGCTTGTCAAAGAGAGTATAAAGTATTCTCCCCCAAGGATAATGAGGGAGCACTCCAGCTCCAGTTCTAATTAATCAGCACTTGATATCGTACACTGTCACACCACCAGTAAAGAAAATGAGCAATAACAAATGCACCACCCAAACAATATTTAAACCAAAATGCACACTGGAGAAAAGAGAAGGAAAAGCAAAAGCCTTTCCCTTTGCAACCCCAACTTGAGGAGCAGGTGGTGGGGAACTCTTAGCCGACTCCTTTCCAAAGCTCCCATTTCTTAAACAGCTTTCTCTTTACTGAACTCACAAGAGCTCTTTTATTTGTATGTTGGTAACAGATCTGCCCAGAATAAGCTTTGAAAAAGATTTCTTCTGTTTGGGTGAATTCAGGGAGAAATATAAGTGCTTTGGATAAAGTGTTTTCAAATATATTCATGACAATGTTTAAAAGCACACTTGTAATATTTGGGAACCTTGTTCTGGCAAGAGGTCATGGTTTAAGCCAGTCTTTGACAGTGAGATGAAACAGTTTGATAAAAGCTGAGACCTCAGAAAGTAGGGGAGGTTCTTTTCTTCTGGTGGGGGCCGTACCTTTTGAAGAGTGCAATTTAAAAAGAGAGAGAGAGAAAGAAAAGCAAGATAAAAGCAAGATAAAAAGAACAGCCTTTTATCAAGGCTACAACCTAGGAGTGTTTAGACAGAGAGAGAGAGCTTCTTCATGATGATAGGAACATAATTTTTGTAAAGAAGGTGTCACATCCGTACATGTCCATGAATTTTAGGGGAAGCAAGGGGCACGATTCTAGTTAAGCAAACCGCAGGATCAGAGAAAGTAAACCCAATTACCTGTGGTACTGAGCTTGTAAAAACTGAAACTCCTCCTTAATCCGATCGCAGGATTCAGAAATGGTGAATTTGAAGGGTTGAGCAGGCTGATGAGGTGCCTAGAAGCGGTCATCAGAACAAAACATTTTAATTACTCCTCTGCTAAGCCAGCCTGCCGGTGCACATAACACACATAAACACACCTGGTGAAGTCACCTCCTCACCAGTGGAAAGAGCGATTAAAACTCACTTTGTGAAGGTGTGTGCGCACACACACACACATACAGTGTTTTTTCTTTCCTCATCATAAGAGCTCTCTTTGCCCTACACAAGCACAAAGTCTAGTCTGGTCCACACCTCGGTAAGCCTCTCTAATTGAGGGAGCGTCTTGCCTTTGATTGCTCATCTTCCATGCCAACAAAAGCACCCGCCGTCTCAGAGCTTAGCAGGGTGAAAGTAGAGTACAGTTACCCCCAGGGTGCTATTAATCAGGATAAAAGAGGAGGAGGACGAGGACGAGGAGGAGGAGGGATGTGAGGGGGAGGGCAAAGAGGGTGGGGAGGGGGAATCACAAGGCAAAAATGGACAGCACACACAGAAACAGAAACCGAATTCAGATTAAGCAACCTCCGCGCTCACGCTTCAAATCGCCTTTGAATCTTTCAAAGGCTAGCAAGAGGGAAGTAGTGTAAACATATTCCCTGACATCGCGAAGCCTGGGAAGCCAAAAGACAACAATAAGAAAATGGCTACAACTCAATTGTTTCACCCAACTCTCCCTCCCGCCGCTTTTTCCCCTCCCTTTCCCCTCATTTGCGGTCTCAAAGCAGGAGGCAAACGGGAGGGGGGGGGGAGAGATTTGTTCTTTATTCTTGTTGATCGTCCCTAATCTGTTTTCTCCCCCCTGTCCCCCGCCGCCGCCGCCGCCGCCGCCGCCGCCGCCGCCGCCGCCGCCGCCGCCGCCGCCGCCGCCGCCGCCGCCGCCGCCGCCGCCGCCGCCGCCGCCGCCGCCGCCGCCGCCGCCGCCGCCGCCGCCGCCGCCGCCGCCGCCGCCGCCGCCGCCGCCGCCGCCGCCGCCGCCGCCGCCGCCGCCGCCGCCGCCGCCGCCGCCGCCGCCGCCGCCGCCGCCGCCGCCGCCGCCGCCGCCGCCGCCGCCGCCGCCGCCGCCGCCGCCGCCGCCGCCGCCGCCGCCGCCGCCGCCGCCGCCGCCGCCGCCAGCGCACGGTTCCGCCCCTCCCATTCCGTAAACAAGACTTTCGCGGGGGTGGGGAGGGCAAGGGGGGGCTCCCCCCGGCGCCACAAAAGTCGCAGCCCCCAACCCTTCGCCCTGCCTCGCCGCTACTCACCGGGTGTCTGGTTTGAGGATACATCTTGCTCAGATCGCGAATCATCCAAACCGATTTAGTGGGTGCTCTGGGCCAGAAAGAAAACTCGGTTCATTGATTTTAACGGCAACAATGCAAAGGAGATGGAGGGGGACGGAGCTGCCCGACGCTCGCGCTTCGAAGAGCGCCTCCGGCTCTGCCCGTGCTCTTCCACCCCGCGGACGAGAGCGAAGACACAAGAGGTGG